TAAGATGCAGGAGGGCGGCAGTCTTCTCGACTTGACTTTGGATCAGGTCTCCGGGTCCGGGTTTCAAACCAAGAACGAGTTTTTGTTCGGGAGATTCGACGTCCGGCTCAAGCTTGTCCCCGGAAACTCTGCCGGAACTGTCACCACCTTTTATGTACGCACGTCTTGTATTCCCTATCTTACTTACATTTCTTTTTCTTGCTGATTCTTAACTTCATTTGATTAGTTTTAGTTTATTCTGATTTCTGATGAATGCAAATCTTTATAAAACTTGCAGTTATCGTCTCTAGGAAACATGCATGATGAGATTGATTTCGAATTCTTGGGGAATTCTTCGGGTCAGCCATACACAATCCACACCAATGTTTACTCTCAAGGAAAGGGCAACAAAGAGCAACAATTTCAGCCCTGGTTTGACCCTGCAGCAACCTTCCACACCTACTCTGTAGTTTGGAATCCCCAACGCATCATGTAAGCATAAAATAAAAAATACCAAGTGTCGTCAAAAATCTCACAAATCAGTTTTCTTAGCGACTAATGAGTGCTTGGTTTCTACTTATTATTACAGATTCTCTATAGATAACATTCCAATAAGAGTGTTCACCAACAATGAAGCCATGGGTGTGCCGTTCCCAAAGAATCAGCCGATGAAGGTTTACGCCAGCCTGTGGAATGCAGATGACTGGGCTACGCAGGGCGGGCGGGTCAAGACAGATTGGTCTAAGGCTCCATTTTCGGCTTCATACCGGGACTTCAACGCCAATGCTTGTGTCTGGTCTGGTCAGTCGTCGAGCTGCGGTTCGACGCAGACAACATCAACGGGCGGGCAGGAATGGCAGAGTCAAGATCTTGATGCCAATGGCAGAAACAGGCTCCGATGGGTGCAACAGAAGTTCATGATTTACAACTACTGTACTGATTTGAAGAGGTTCCCACAGGGTCTTCCTCCTGAATGCAAGCGCCAGAGGTCTTGATGTGCATTTCTAGTTGAGTTCGGATTATGATCAGCTAGTTCTATATGTTCTTTCTACGTGTTTATTTAATTATTCCCTGGGAAAAGTTTTTAATGTGTAGAATACTGGAATTCCTTATTCTTTTTGTAAGTATTTGTGGATTAATAAAAGTGCAGTTACATTACCTGATTGTCTTGTTTTCCATTGGATTAAGGCTTTGTTTGCAAGGCTTTGTTTAAATAAAAGCACTTTTTGGGAAAAACTGATTAGTAGTAAAAGTTGGTAGTGTTTGGTAAAATAAGTGTTTTTTGTGTAATACGGTAGCAAAAATAAAAAATAGATTCTACACAAAAACTGAGAAAAGAAAAGTTAATAGTGTTTTGTAAAATAAGTGCTTTTTTGTTATAAAAAAAACCACAACCACTTAAATTAAGTGATTGCAAACAGAGCTTAAACCTTTATTGAATATTTGGGCTTTTGATATAATTTGTATGTTATTGATTATCTACGATGTCCTGCATAAAATCTGGAGTGTGACTAACATGTGAAAATTGTTCAAATCATATTAGTAAAAACCTATGTTGTAAAAATCGGACCGTGAAACGACCCGGACAGATGACTAGGTCACGGGTCAATCCGGACCGGCGGTCAGCCCGGTCAACGACCGTTAAACCCGGTTAACAACTATACATATAATAATTATATAATGATTAAATTCATAATTAGAAAAATTATAGTCTTTCATACTCTCTCCGTTCTTTTTTATTAGTCCTTCTTTCCTTTTTGGGACGTTTTTTTTATTTGTCTCATATCCCTTTAAGGAAAGTTTTTGAGAAAATACCCTCATTTTTATTACTTTTACCCCACTTACTTTTTACAAACTACTTTCTCTTTCCTACTTTACCATCACTTTACTCTTCTTAATACACTCTCTTTCCTACTTTATCATCATTTTACTCTTTTTAATATATCATATTTCCTACTTTATCATTTACCTTACACACTCTATACTTACTTTACTACTTTATTATTAAATCCCGTGCCAAACTCTAAGGGGACTAATATTAAAGAACGGAGGTAGTATAATTTAATAATATAATGACAATACAATATAAGCATTGTAAGAAAACTATTGTATTTAAGTATATTGATTTTAACAAAATATAAAATACATTGGAATTTAGATGGGTAATAAATATGAACATAATACAACTAAACAAAATAAAATAAAACAAAATAAAATAAAATAAAATAAAATAAAATAAAATAAAATAAAATAAAATAAAATAAAATAAAATAAAATAAAATAAAATAAAATAAAATAAAATAAAATAAAATAAAATAAAATAAAATAAAATAAAATAAAATAAAATAAAATAAAATAAAATAAAATAAAATAAAATAAAATAAAATAAAATAAAATAAAATAAAATAAAATAAAATAAAATAAAATAAAATAAAATAAAATAAAATAAAATAAAATAAAATAAAATAAAATAAAATAAAATAAAATAAAATAAAATAAAATAAAATAAAATAAAATAAAATAAAATAAAATAAAATAAAATAAAATAAAATAAAATAAAATAAAATAAAATAAAATACATCAAACTTGGAAGATTATATACGAGAAGTATAATAGCAACATTGGTGTAATGGTGTGTATTTATTACTCCGTATTATTTTTATAATAAATTAATTAATTAACAAATTACTTAATTAAGATATTCCAGACTTAGTGTATTTAGGACTCCTAATCGACCAAAGATAGCAACTAGTTAATTAGTGTAGCACGTTGTTAAGAAGGTTCAGGTCCTATGCATTAGGCGGGACTCGATTCTCGCTGGCGACATATTTTCCCGGTCGATGCTCAACCGGACCGGATGGAAGGCCGGGTGACCGGTTTCCGGGTCGAGCCGGCCGATCCGGTTTGAGTTTTACAACATAGGTAAAAACTGGTGATGAAGATTCCTTTTCAAATCATTACCTGAAGTTGAACTCGAGATCTCTATCCTCTAACACTCTCTTCCTACAGGATGAGCTATGCTATTCGATTTATTCAAGGATTCCAAAGACTATACCACTATACCAGAAGTGTAGAATCCGGATATAATGGTAGAGTCAGAGAGGTATGTCAGGAAGGCCAGGTTTAAAATATTGGTGTCTCTACGGTATACTATAACACAAAGTGAGTGTTTTGGCACTTCGAAAAAAAGAAGTCATGGAAGGAGATGAAAGAGAAAACGAAGAAGAATTAATGACTCTTTTATTTCTTTCTTAATGTGATTTTATCTGTTTTTTTTTGTGATGGTTTTTTACAATATCAATTGCAATGTGTATATTTACACATTTAAGTCTTTCATTGTTTGCAAAACTTTTGTAATACCTAACATACACATGCTCGAGCTTATCCACATGCTACTGTCGAGATGACATTTTTTATACTATACATTGATAATCAAATGACAAATTTTTATTGCTTGACGATGATAAATTGATTTGGTTTTATAATTTTGCTTGATTATAGCATTATGACTCAATAATGTTGGTATAATACTATAATGTTCCGCCTCATCGTGATAGCCATTCTTCTTTAGGGATGCCATTCCTGTTGGGTTAAATATACACATGCATGCCTTTTTTTAATGACATTTTTAGCATTCATTCTCATTTTTACTTTTATCATACTATACGGTAAAGTCAAAATCTCATTTTTGCATTTTTACGATATTGTAATCCTATATATTTAGATCATCATCTCAACACAATTTTGTGGGATTTTGAAGAGATCAATTTACTCTGAAATTGTTACTACAAAGTAGAATGGTTATAAGTATGCATTTTTGTGAACTTATAACATAACCATTTGTGAATATACATATAAGCATTTTTAGTAAAATTCCCTCAATGCTCTTGTTTAATACGTAGTAACAAATATGTGTATGATATTTGGATTATAATCCAGCGGCTGTCTATAGGAAAGAATAGATGGGAGAAAATAGGTTTTGAGTTTTAAGTGTGGGGTGTCCATCTAAATACATAATGGTATTAGTACGGTGACCTTAAGCATTTGTACGAACTCTATGTTGCTCGTTTAGTTGTCAACTATTCGCACGGCTTTTTTAAGAAGTGACGGTAGACTTTTTATTGAGTCTATATGGTGTCTTGTGAAAGCAAGATGGTGGAGTTTGAACTATTGATTTATTTTAACTCTTACTTTGATCGATTTTTAATACATATTTTATTTTCCTCTAAAAAATCTATCATAAATATCACCCAAGTAATATGGAAAGATATATTTGTGAAACAAATTAAAGACTACGTAGTGATACAATAATACGTATAGTAGTACTTATTACTTACTACTCCGTACATTATAAAGAAGGTATTCGTGTTTTCAACATACGTGGTAAAGAACACATTTTTGTTATTGTTCGTCATTTAATGTATTTCTCTCTGAAATCTTCACGCATAATCATTACTTGAGAAAATGCAAATATTTTAAGGTGAAGGAATTGCATAACTCATTCATAAAAATACCTAATCGGTGGAGTCCAACACATTCCCTCTAGGACTAGAACTAGAACTTAACTCATTGCGGTTGCTTTACAGCCCTAAATCGTCATTGCATTATTATTATACGAAAAGACATGAGACTTGATGAGTCGGCATCGAACCAAATATAATTGGATCATTCCACTTAATTTGGATGTCTTCACCAAACCAAAAGTCCAAAATTTGTTAAAGAATGAATACGGCTGGACTGAATTATTTGCGGATAAAAGTAGACCTATAAATTACAAGTGCGTTTAGAAGATGACATTTTAAAGTAGGGAGGTCAAATGTTGGCTCCTGAGCCAAGACCTGTAATCGGCTCATCAAATCATTGGCATTAAAAACACACAAAAGGACACATCCCTCGATTTAAATCAAAGGCACACGCCTACTGAAGAAAACGCGTGCGTAATTGGCCGACTATTTCTGCCCACCCAACAGCTAAGCACACAACCACCTCCATTTCCTGGATTCCACCTTCATCTTCTCATCACCAGCTATCTGCTCAGCTTGCCAGGTCACTCACCCTCCTCTCTAGTCTCTATATATAACTCCTCTGCGCATCGTCCTCAAACCATCTACCTCATTGACTCATTCCCATATCCATCAACAACCTACAAAAAAACCATCTTTTCAGTTTTTATCAGCAAATATGATGAAATCTTCTTCTGCAAGAGTTTCAACATCCCTGTTTCTGCAGCTCTCAGTTCTACTGGCTTCCGTCATCCTCTCTGCCTCTGCGGGCAACTTCTTCCAGGATGTTCAGGCCACATACGGCGGGGAACGTGTAAAGATGCAGGAGGGCGGCAGTCTTCTTGACCTGACTTTGGATCAGGTCTCTGGCTCCGGATTTCAGTCCAAGAACGAGTTTTTGTTTGGGAGATTCGACGTCCGGCTCAAGCTTGTACCCGGAAACTCTGCCGGGACTGTCACAACCTTTTATGTATGCCCCCAGCTCTCAATCACCCTCTATGCATACATGTCTTTTGTCTAATTAATTAGCTTTTATTTATTCATTCATATTTCTGATGAATGGAAATCTCGATAAAACATGCAGTTATCATCGCTAGGAAACATGCATGATGAGATTGATTTCGAGTTCTTGGGGAATTCTTCCGGTCAACCATACACAATCCACACCAATGTTTACTCCCAAGGAAAGGGCGGCAAAGAGCAACAATTCCAGCCCTGGTTTGACCCGGCTGCTTCCTTCCACACCTACTCCATTGTTTGGAATCCCCAACGCATCATGTAAGCATAAGAATAAACAATACCTGAAAGTGTCAAAAATCTCACAAATCAGTTTTCTTGGTGACTAATGAGTGCTTGGTTTCTACTTATAAATACAGATTCTCTATAGATAACATTCCGATAAGAGTGTTCAACAACAACGAAGCTATGGGTGTGCCATTCCCGAAGAATCAGCCGATGAAGGTTTACGCCAGCCTGTGGAATGCAGACGACTGGGCAACGCAGGGCGGGCGGGTCAAGACAGATTGGTCTAAGGCTCCCTTTTCAGCTTCATACAGGGGCTTTAACGCCAATGCTTGTGTCTGGTCTGGTCAGTTGTCGAGCTGTGGTTCGACACAGTCAATATCAACGGGCGGGCAGGAATGGCAGAGCCAAGATCTTGATGCCAAGGGCAGAAACAGGCTGCGATGGGTGCAACAGAAGTTCATGATTTACAATTACTGTACTGATTTGAAGAGGTTCCCACAGGGTCTTCCTCCTGAGTGCAAGCGCCAGAGGTCCTGATTTGCATTTCTAGTTGAGTTTTGTTGATGATCAGCTGGCTCTATATGATGTTTCTACGTGTTTGTTTAGGCCTTTGGAAAGTATTGAGTTTGTAGAATACTTGAATTCTTTATTCTTTTTGTATGTATTTGTGAAAATATTAATGAAAGTGCAGTTACATTACATACATTGCCCTGTTTTCCAATTGGACTTGACCTTTATTTAATATGGAGCATTTCAAATAGAGAACAAAGCTTTTGATATATGTTGTTCACTGTCTTTACCTCACATTATTCATGACACATATTTGGGTTCTTTCTATCATAGGATGCTCTTTCTCTCTTGTCACGTGGTGCATCTATCTCTTCTATGATCCTTCTTTGAGTCTATCAAGCGTTGAGGAATGAGGAGTTTGATCCGTATTTATAATATAAAAATCTCTAAAGTTAAAGACTGCTCCTCCTTTCACTTTTTAGAGCTTCCCAAGAAATAACCATAAAATTCTAAAATGTTCCAAATGAATCTTGGGTACTCCATCATTTTCTAAAATATTTTAAAGTATTCCACACTTTTACCCTTTTACATGTTCTACAAAATTTTACTCTCTTATATAGGGCCGAAAAGAATTTTTCACTTCTCTACGAGGCTCTAGAATACTCAACATTTTTCTTTAGAAAATTGGACAGGGATTCCAAAATCAATATTCCTAACCATTAACATACTTACATACCATTCTCTAATTCCTGACCAGATTAAGGCGAATTTACTAATACATTCGTGGTAAAGGTTATCCTAACTCATTGAAATGATGCATACCTTTTACTTTTCAAGACTGTCTTATAGTAAAGTACATGAAATTTACTAGTTTAGTGCTCTTGGCACTTTTTCTGCGTGAGGATTAACCAGGGAGAGTTGGAAAGTGAAGGATTGGTGTGTAAAGAGGAAGGTGAAGAAGGTGGATTAGCTATACAATCCTGCAAAACTTTTACTTTTATCTCTCAATCACTCCAATTTGGGGGTTATGGAGGAGTTATACCAAAAAAAGGAATGTAGGTGTATGAAATACAAAATTTACATGTTTCTTAAACACCGATTACCCCATACTCCATTGAACCAGACATAATGTCAGTTCTTTAACTTCATTTCTTCACCTCCAATTTCCCCATTAATTATGTCATTTCCCCTCCCCCCAAGCCCAATCAAACAATGTGATGTATATTTGCACCCTGCGTTTACCAGAAATGAAACATTGCATCCTCAAGTGCTAATAAAATTTAAAGTCAAATAGTTATATGTAAATATTCCATAGATGATATTAGATCAATATAAAATAATATCATTGTTAAAATATGAAGAAATCACGAGTAGATACAAAAATATTTATCATACTCTAGCATATGGAATGAAAACCAGATTGCAAGGCCCTGAAAAACAGCCAGTGTATCAAAAGTATCCAGGACTTAGGGTTAGCTGGTCCATGAAGTAGGAATCTGTATTCCCCTATCCTTCCCAAGGTAGATGACAACTCCTGTAGCTAGAGCAATAATTGTTGATCCATCCACCAAAATCACTCCAAATCCAACCAAATTTCTTGCCATTCATGTCCACTGCCACTGGTATCCATATATTTAAGCATATGCAGTCTCTACCCTCAAATGCTCTAACGGCTTTATTTTTTTTTTATCTCAAGCTTCAATTACACTTTATTCAAGTCCTTGTTCAGTGCGGTAGAAGCCTCCAAATCCATAACAATGTTCTCCAATGCCAATATCTCTTTCTCTTTTCCATCCTTCACTCCCATTTTATCATTCTCACTGACCTAAAATTTCCCCACTTCTGAAATCAGCAGATGATTTTCCTCTACAATAGCTTGGAGTTTGAATTTCTTCTCATTACAACACTTTCCAACCCAACTGCAGTTGAATTCAACATGGCCACATCCCATCTGGACTAGTCCAAATCATTCAAAGCTTTTGCTCAGATCATTGAGGACACGAGAGGCCTCGCTCTGATCATTCAAAATGGCATTATTTACAAATCAATGGTGTTGGGTTAAGGGCCCAAGCCGAGGTCCGGCCCACTAACCCCATCTTGCCAGACGCACGTCCAGTTAGAACACTAGGCCAGCCCACAGGCCCATGTTCCTTGAGGATGGACGAACGTCTGGGGTTGGGGGTTCAGGCCCAGCGGCTCATCCCGACGAACGTCTATGTAGGGACAAGGAGCAGGGCCACGGGCCACCAGGGATGACGACGAACGTCCCCATGGCAAGCCTATAGTCATCGGAGGAAACCTAGTCCACATGGTGAGTATCTATTAAGGCCAGGAGACGAACAGCCGGTATCTCTCGAGGGTCACTTGGAGCGATCCAGCTCACTTCCCGGGAGGACGAACGTCCCCACTGATTAGGCGGGAAACCTAGATTCTGGCGGGAAGTGCATTTAATGCTGAAGATTTGGTGGTTGGGGCACCAGCGGTCCACAGGCTGCCACGTCAGTATAGCCACCTGCCCATTGGTGGGTATAAATAGAAGCATTTATTTCATTGTAAGAGGTGGGCAACTTTCTATTCTTAGTATACTAGCTTCAGCATTCTTACTTGTAGCATTTCTAACTGCCTTGTAAGACGAACGGCCGACGTGCCTTTTTAGCAAGTAGATTGTACTTAGGGGAGTTATTACGAAGTTAATAATACCTATTTACATTGCCTGCTATTTCTTTTGTTTCCTGATCCATCTGATAGCTGTTGGGCTAGGTATCCATACACTCACTCCACTCGAAATCTTTGGGCTTACGTGTTGGGTCCAAGGGTTGAAGGAATTAACCTCAACACTGGCGCCGTCTGTGGGAAACTGAACAAAAAGTTTCCAGAAACTCTCCCAAACAGCTACTAATCCCCCCTACAGCAAACACGATGTCAGGAAGCAACAACCAGCGTGATCTCTCCGAGCGTCTGGAGTCAAGCCGCCGGAATCGCGGCCAGAACTCGGAACTGTCCGCAACGATATGGATCTCCGGGGGAAACGGGGGCATCACTGACCTCATTCCCCTTGAGGCCAGGCAGGATCCCCGCCTCATGCGGGAACTCGCTGACACCATGCGTCGTTTGGCAGACGAACGGGAGGCCCGAGATCAGGTGTACTCTGCAAGCAGCCAGCGAACGCCCCTCTCTCCCATTCGCCGCATGCAGTCGTATGATGATACGACGGGATCCAGCGAACACCGGCCCTCAGTCCATGAGTGGCTAGGTGGGGGTTCAGGCTCCCGTGAAACGGGAGGGCGAACCAGGGTCAGCATCGCTGCATCCAGGGCTCACACGCCATCGGTTCCCCGCCAAGTCTCGCGGGGAGACGAAACCCCAAGGATCAACACCGTTGGACGACGTTTCCAACGGCGAGGTGCGCAGATCTTTAGGCGGCCGCACGATGCTGTGGCCGCTCAGCAGAAGGCCGTCCTCGAAGCCGCGCCCCCTGTGTCCCCCGGAAGGGCCGCACAGGATGCAAGGCTGGAAGCAATGGAACGGCAGATAGCCGAGATGAATAGACGGACGGACGTCGGCTCGACCACACCCTCTTTCTCTCTCACATCACCCTTTACTCCACGGGTGATGAGCGTCGAGATTCCCCGGGACTGCAGGCCCCCGGGCAACTTGGTGTACAATGGGGCTGGCGATCCCAAGGCCCATCTGATAAGCTACCAAGGGAACCTGTCCATGCTGGGAGCATCGGACGAGGCCATCTGCAGATTGTTCTTCAGCACCCTCAGGGGACCGACACAAGAATGGTTCGGCCAGTTGAGGCCGGGCACCATCGACTCATATGAACAGCTCTCCCGGCAGTTCATGGCTCAGTTTGCTGCCAGTACCACCCCCAGGAAGGACGTCACGGCTCTCGCCCACATCAAACAAGGGAGGGACGAACCGCTGGCTAGGTTCCTGGTAAGGTGGAGGGACGAGGTCCTGCAGGTCGATGATCTGGACGAACGTCTGGCCACAAACATGTTTACCAGTGCGATGGCCACAGGGGATCTGTACCGGGACCTAAGGAGGAACCCCGGCACCAGCTACACCGAGGTTCTGGCTCGGGCCCAGAAGTATGCCTCCATTGAGGAGGAGATCAGGCAGCGGGACGGAGTTCCCGCGGCCCACCCACGAAAGATGGCGGACAGGCTCGGACCCAGACCGGGGCCCGGGCCCTCCCCCCCAAACAAAAAGAAGAAGACGGACGGGGCGATGGTCCCTTGGAAGGCTCCGTCCGGGGATATTCAGACGCGGCCGGACGACCGCTATGTCCCATTGGCCTATCCAGTGAGCCAAATCTTTGAGGTCATCAAGGACAAGGGCCTCCTGACGGAACCCCAGGATATGAAGAAGCATATGGGGCTTGACCAATCGGCCTACTGTGAATACCATCAGAGGGCCGGCCACCTGACGGACAATTGCAGCCAACTAAAGAAAGCAATCGACGAGCTGATCCGTTAGGGGTACTTGGGCGAGTTCACCCAGCTGCTGAACAAAAACAGCCAGCAGAGGCCGAACCCAAGGCCCCGAACATGGCGCCGCGACGACCGGCGCGAGGCAGAGCCCCAGGATGTGGATTATCGAAGTACGGATAAACGTCCGGAGGGATCCCTTGGCCCGAAGGGCAAAAAGAAGAAGCTGGAGATCAAGGTGATCTTCGGGGGCGCTGAGACAGGAGACACGCCCGCCGAGCGGAAAAAATTCGAGAGATCACTCTATGTGGGTTCCGTATCAGCACCCCCCACCAAGCGTAACAAGATCGAGGCAATCACCTTCGGTCCCGCCGACCTGCCGATGTCACCAGCGCCGCACAGAGACGAGCTGGTGATCAGCATGGACGTGAACCATGCCATCGTCCGCCGCGTCCTTGTTGATACCGGGAGCAGTGTGAACGTCCTCTACTGGGAGGCTTTCGAGGGGATGAAACTCAAGAAGGACATGCTGCACCCTCTGCGTACCCCGCTGTCCGGCTTCACCGGGGACTGCGTTGACGCTGGGGCACCATCATCTTGCCAGTAGAGATCGGCGACGGCCCTCACACCGCCCGGATCGGGATGACGTTCGTCGTGGTCCGCCTAAAGTGCGCCCACAACGCCATTTTGGGCCGACCCGGCTTGGAAGACTTGGGGGCCATATGCTCCGTATGGCACTCATGCATCAAATTCCCCACCGACACTGGAGTGGGGGGTAGCACGTACGGACCCGCATATGGCCAGGGCCTGCTACACGAAGGCCATGGAGAAGCTCAACGAGCGGGAGGCTCGGGTCAACAG